TAATTTCTTTATAACAAACAATTAAACACTCAATTTGGCGCGCTTGCGCGCGTTTAATTTTGCTAGTTTATTTATTATTTTTATATATATATATATATATATATATATATAACATTTAAATAAATTAATAAATATAACTATGGAAAAATGTCTTTAAATATTTATTGCAAATTAATAAATAATTATTAATAAATTAAATAAGTATTATCTGAGAATATTTTACACATCCTAAATTCAATCACTTTTTTTCATAAAAAATTTTCCAACACTTAACTAGATGTTCTAGCTTAGTCCAAGTTAGGACCAGTCTAGAATATATAAACAGGGGCTGCCAAGGTAGAACCAATGTTGGGCCAACAATCATTTTAGGCATACGTTGGTGATTTCTACACGGGAAAGAAAAATTTCTTTGAATCAAAGAAATATTTTTTCCAAACTTAAGCACGCTGATTTACTACGAGCGTTCACTGCGCGCGCATCAGCTACGTAAAGTCACAAACAGCTGCGTGTGCCTCATGTTGCAGCATGTTCACGGCGTAATAATTTATAATCGTTTTCAGTTTTATGCAGATAAATTTCGTTTCAAGTTTTTTTGTAGTGAGTGACAAAGAATTAAATTAAATTAAACATTAATCAATCCAAGTGTTTAATATACTTTAAGTATTAATTCAATTTCTAGAAATAATATTATATTATCTTAAATGAAATAATTTATTTTTTCAGTTGAAATAGTGATATAATCTTGAAGGAAATCATTTTTTTGTTTCCTTGAAAATATTTTTTATTTAATTAATTAACTTGATTAACGCATAGTTCTTGAATTAAAAATTTAGTATTTGGCAGAAGTAAATATGTTATTATCGCAACCCAATATTTTATTTTCCCGAAGTACCAAAAAGTATTCAATCAAGAATATTAGGTTATTAAGCAAAATAATAAAATATTGTCTGAAGAATTTTCATTTCTTGAATCAAATAGTTTTATGCATTTGCTTTGAATTAATGTTTTACTTAATACAAATCCCGTATTAATGAAATATAAATGTGTATGTAAAATAAACATTATTTAAATAAATAATAAAAAATATGAATGTTAATAATAAATAAAAATGTTTGACTTAAGAATTAGACATGGTGGGATAAGGAAGGAGTGTAGGAGGGGGGGGGGGTAAATTCAAGTAAATATTTACTTGTATTGGAAAAATATTTTTTTGGTTCAACTCCATAAGTTTTCTCAAGTCAAGAAAATATTTTCTTGAGTTAATATATATATATGATCTTGACTTAATATATTTTACATTTCTTAGAAGTCAATAAACTTCTTAGACGAATTCCATATTTTCTTGGACCAAGAACATATGGTCTCCTCACAATATAAATAATATTTTGATTTAAATCTTGTCTTACTTGATCCAATATTGCAAAGATTTGAATGAATCAAATGAAACAATTGATTTGACTACATATATTCTCAGAACAAGAAAATATTTTCTTCCTTTAATGTATTTTACATTTGTTACAAGTTGATTAATATATTGCTCGAATTCCATATTTTCTTGGATTAAGAATATATGCTCTCGTCCCAAATATACTATCTCAAGACAATCGTTTACTTGAACCAATGCCGTAATTAACTTGTCCCTATTCAATTCCACGGTTTACTTGAAGCAAGTCAAATTTTCTTGATTCAATACTATTTTTTTTCAGTGTAGGCCCAGAATTTTTCTACAGATAAATTAATTTTAAAAAATCGCATCTTGGAGGGATTTTGAGATCACTGGATTAGAAATTCAAAGCTAATTTTAAATTGGGCACAGAGCCCAACGTAAGATTCCGCGGCCCAATGTGAGGCCGACGTTAAAAAATTAGTTGTTTAAATAAAACCCCCTAATTTTTAGTATCCATTTCAGAATCGTTATGAAATTCTGGGTTAAGTCTTGTAGTACAAATGCCAAAAATATTGGTCCCAATGTCTGGTATTGGGTCCAATATTTTTGGAATTTGTACCACAAGTCTAAGCCCAGAATTTCATAACGATTACGAAATGGAAGGAAACTAATTTTTTACTGAAGGAAGGTCTCACATTGGGCTGCGCAATCTTAAATTGGGCTTTGTGCCCAATTTGAAATGTAGATTTGAATTTCTAATCCTGTGACCCCAAAAACTCCAAAAATGCGATTTTATAAATTTATTTATTTGTCAAAAAATATTGAGCCCAATCCCAGACATTGGGCCCAATAATTTTGGCTTTTGTACTACAAGTCTAAATCCAGAATTTCATAACGGTTTTAAAATGGTTACTAAAAATTAGTGGGTTTTATTTAAACAACTAATTTTTTTAATGTGAGACGCATATTGGGCCGCGGAATCTTACATTGTGCTCTGTGCCCAATTTAAAATTAGCTTCGAATTTCTAATCTTGTGATCTCAAAAACCCTCTAAGATGCGATTTTTTAAATATAATTTATCTGTAGAAAAATTTTGGACCCAATATCTTGGATTGCGCCCAATATTTTGGGCACTTATACCACATGTCTGAACGCAGAATTTCATGGGGATTACGAATTTGATATTGAAAATTAGTGGTCTCATTTAAGAAAATTACCTTTTTTATTGTAGTGCCCAACATTGGGTTATGGGCCCAAATTTTTTGTTTCAAAGATGTAGACCTTTTTGTTTGGAACAACTTTTGTCTTGAACATTTATTACGAAAAAACGTACTTTTCGAGATATTTGCAAGTTTCCATACTTTTGGATCACCCTGCATATATATGTATATAACAAGAGAAATTTAACAGGTGATTGTTAGGATTTTTAAAATTTACAAATAATTTGCAGACTTTTTGCGATTTTAATTTAAGATTTTAAAATTTTCCAATTTTCTTTATTTATCTTTTTCTCGCATTTTCTCTTTATTCAGAATTTTTTTTATATATATATATAACAGGTTTTATAAAAAAAATTAAATTAAGAAACATCAACATTATACTTTAAAGTCTCTTTCTAACTAATTTCGTTCTATTGCTGTCGACCACAATATTTTTAAATATATTTTTACATTATTTTCGCATTAAAATATTTTTTCTCCAAGCGCATTAACAAATTATTATATAACAACTTAGTCTGAACCATCTTTTGAAAATAAATGATCGTGTCAAGAATTAATATTTCCAACAAAAGACAGGTAAAAATTTATTGAAAATATTAAATTATATCTAACAAGTAACACTACCCAAGTGCCAATCGCCGATTGACTTGAGTCTTTGCGCATTTTTTAGAGGAGCTAAAAATATTTGATACGTACATTTTTATATCGGCAATGAAGATGTTGTAAGGGTTGAAAACAGGGGTTGAAAAGTCATATTTTGAGTGGCAAAATATACATATCATGATCATTAAAGAAAGTTTAATTAAAATCATTATTTCATTATTTAAAAAATGTTTGACACTTCTTTCTTGATTTCCTAAAAGATACTGCTCGGTAGAAATTACCGTTATAAACCTTTTTGAATGGGGTGAGTAAAACCTTTAACCCTTTAATAACCAAATATACAAAATTTTTGCATGATTTCACAACCAATTTTTCAAAGTGATTTGAATCGCTTGAAACTTGTTACTCGGGGGTTTTCGGGGTCGCTGATTACGAATTCGATATCAGTTTCTCAAAATTCAAAATGGCGGATCTAATATGGCGGAAGACATTTTGAAAATCAACTGCAATTTGATTGAAACTTGTTACTCGGGGGTTTTCGGGGTTGCTGATTACGAAATCGATGTCAGTTTTTTTTGAAAATTGGTTTTAGAATCCTAATTAGGAACCTTAAAAATTCACAGATAATTTATTTTTTATCTATTCTACATGAGTTTCGTTACGAAATTTTAATCACCCCTTTCCCAATTTTTCGCCCACCATATTAAATCCGACATTTTCAATTTTCTAATTTTTAATCGAATTCGTAATCAGCGACCCCGAAAACCCCCGAGTAACAAGTTTCAATCAAATTGCAGTTGATTTTCAAAATGTCTTCCGCCATATTGGATCCGCCATTTTTGAATTTTGAAAAACTGACATCGAATTCGTAATCAGCAACCCCGAAAACCCCCGAGTAACAAGTTTCAATCAAATTGCAGTTGATTTTCAATATGTCTTCCGCCATATTGGATCCGCCATTTTGAATTTTGAAAAACTGACATCGAATTCGTAATCAGCAACCCCGAAAACCCCCGAGTAACAAGTTCCAATCAAATTGCAGTTGATTTTCAATATGTCTTCCGCCATATTGGATCCGCCATTTTGAATTTTGAAAAACTGACATCGAATTCGTAATCAGCGACCCCGAAAACCCCCGAGTAACAAGTTTCAATCAAATTGCAGTTGATTTTCAAAATGTCTTCCGCCATATTGGATCCGCCATTTTGAATTTTGAAAAACTGACATCGAATTCGTAATCAGCGACCCCGAAAACCCCCGAGTAACAAGTTTTAAGCGATTCAAATCACTTTGAAAAATTGGTTGTGAAATCATGCAAAAATTTTGTATATTTGGTTCTTAAAGGGTTAAAGGTTTCACTCACCCCATTCAAAAAGGTTTATAACGGTAATTTCTACCGAGCAGTATCTTTTAGGAAATCAAGAAAGAAGTGTCAAACATTTTTTAAATAATGAAATAATGATTTTAATTAACCTTTCTTTAATGATCATGATATGTATATTTTGCCACTCAAAATATGACTTTTCAACCCCTGTTTTCCACCCTTAAAACATCTTCATTGCCGATATAAAAATGTACGTATCAAATATTTTTAGCTCCTCTAAAAAATGCGCAAAGACTCAAGTCAATCGGCGATTGGCACTTGGGTAGTGTTACTTGTAAGAGACATAACAGTCAAAAGTTGAAGAGATATGTTCATAGTTTTTCAAATGTGATCTTTATAAATCTTTCTTTTTGTTTAAGAAGTAGTATGAACAGTACCTTATATTATTACTATTTATTACTTGTAGATGCTGAATTAAAAGAAGAGAAAAGTGATCTTCAAACCAAAGGTACAATATTATGTGTACTAATAGCAAAATAAAATACAGTCAGGGAAGACCGGGATAAGTCTCAGTTTAATATAAGGTTATAGTCTAGAAAATTATTCTATAAATCTCAATTACCATAATGATTATAATTTTTTCCGAAAAGTATGAAAAATCTTATGTTTTTATTTTTCTGATATTTAAAGCGGTCCTATTCTTATAGTTATGATTTATAATAAATTAATAAATTGTGTATACTTAATAAGTAATGAATATTGTTGTAATTAAAGAATTAATGAAAATTAAAAGTTGATATACACCAACACTACAACTGTAAGAATTAACGAAATCGAATAAGTATGTCGGATTTACTCCGGTCTCTCTTGTTTTTACGTTAAGAAAAATTTTTTTTAGTAATTTGTTTTTTAAAATTAATTTTCAATTTATGATGACAACGATACTAATGAGCCTGTCAATATCTGTGAGAATATTAGAAATTCTGATTCTGAAGACAGTAGAGACAGCGCACATCTGACTATAATCATGGTATATGTTTACTTTACTTTCATACATGCAGTAAGGGAACGATTTAATATTTTTAAAAACACACTGCTATTGTAGATCCTGCAATCTATGTTTCAATTCAACCCTTGATAGGATTAATAGTAAAATAGTATATTTCAATTGAAATTAACATTAAAAATATTTTTAATAAAAAGATGGAAGCATTCCATACTTGATAGACTTTGATTTTTGTTTCTTCTTTTTTTCAAATATTTTAAACATTTTTTAAGGGATGATAAATCGTCGGTTGAGGGGAGAAAGATGACAATTCAGGTAAGTTTTGAACAACATGCCATTTCAGCAAAGATTTGAAAAACATGCCTTTTCAGATGCGTCAAACTTTTTGGTTATTTCAAATTAAAAGTACTGTGACATCACTGCGATTAATGTTAGTAATTATTCTGTAAAATTAATCTTGAACATTTAATAAGGGACATCAGAATATAAGTTATAATACTTTTTGTTTTTTTATTCTATTTCTTTTTGTCTAAAATGCACAAAATAATTTAACACTTGAAATGTCATGTTTTTCACATTTCTGCTGAAATGGCATGTTTTTCAAAACTTACCTGAATTGTCATCTTTTTCCCGTCAACCGACGAAATTAACAGGGATTTTTTTCAATTTTTCTAAAGATAAAAATATTACAAAAAAATAAATTTGATAAATTTAACGTCAATTTTGAATTTTTAGTCTCTTACTTTGCAACTATTTGTACATTTTCATAACTCAAAGAGTTAAAATAATACAAAAGTATTTTTCAACACCAGACAAAATTAGGTTACTCTATTAAGGCTAAAAAACATTCTGAAAGGTGACATGACCTCGTTTAATTTTATCGATATTTAAATTTCTTCCTGTAAATTTAAATGAACAAAAGTTTCTAACAACCTTTTTCTTTTATTTCTTTTTTTTAAAGCAATATTGTATCGTGAGGTATTATTACTACTGGAGAAAATCTGAAAGCACTGAGTATACATTCGTAGTATTGAATAATCTGTTGTCAACTAATATGAAACAAAACTCTGATTACTGTCAAAAAAAGTTGTGATCATTTTCTGCAGAGCATTCAGTGCTGTGTGGAGAACTTTCAGAACTCTCGAATTTAATTTTTTGGTTTACACAGTAACCAGGGCTGTGAGAAAAAATACTCAGTGCTTTAAGATTTTCTCCGTGTTCGAAGAAAATAAATTAATTCTTGAAACAAATTTGTAACAATATTGTTTTGTAAAATTCAGCATACTTCACATTTCTAAAATATATTTTTCTGGTTCACAGAAAAAGAAGTTCTCTGGACTGATGACACGATTAAATTATTAATTGAAAGCTATAGAGAAAAAAGTCAGACTAAAACGTTTAATAAATTACTGCGGAAACAGATCTGGCAAAAAATTTCTGAAAATCTGCAAGAAAGAGGGTATGTTGTAACCGGATCACAATGTACTAATAAATGGAAAGGTCTAATGAAGCAATACAAAAAAAAAAGTCTTCAATAAATAAAACAGGTTCAGTTCCTCGATTTTGGAAATACTTTGATTCTATAAATGAATTTATGGAAAATAATCTATCTATTTCACCAACTGCTTTGTCATCGAATTTGAAGGGTTATGTAGTTCATCAGTCAAAAAAGAAACAATTGTTTATGTTTATTTTTTCAATTTTTACATTTTTTTATTATTTTTGTTATGTATCAATAAAAGTTAACGTCATCAAAATATATGCATATAAGGTTACATTCAATTATAATAGGCATATAAATAGTAGAACGCTAAATATTTTTGTTCTCTATAGTACTCTTAATTTTTCTTGCTTATTTTATTTTCATTAATGTTTTTTATATTCTATATGTAAAGAAAAGACAATTTTATATTGTATAATTATTATTCAAGATTACATCTAGAACAATACGACTATAGAAATTTAGTAATCACTTAATAGTTCCTATTATTTTCTTAAATTTGATATTTCCTCCTGAATATGTGATATTAATTCAGAGGAATAATAAACTGCATAATTACTTTCACTGCTTGTTAGCAAAAAAGAAAGAAATTAAAAAATTACATATTTTTTATTTATAGTATTAAAATTTGTTAAATTGATATTATATTGTTTATGATTATTTTTTAATTTTCATTTTTTTGTGTTATTTCTGCAATTTAAAGATAAACGATACCATGTTCAATTAAATTTATCATTACTTTCAATTTTGTTCTGCATTGCTCTTATAGTCGAAAGGACAAAAAGTAAAGTGCCTTAGTTCTTTTCTCTGAAAGTCTCAAGTAAATATTCAAATATGTTATTACTTGCATAGCCGTATACAAAATTAATTGAAAAAAAGGATAAGGTACTTACTTATTTTTGTTTACTAGTAGTAAATTTAAATTAAAAAACTACTTTATTTATATAATTAGTATTAAAATTTAATGACACACTGAAAATTCATTATTATTAGAGTGCAATAGTGCGATAAATTATGTCTCAAAAAATGCCTTATTTTAAAAACCAGGGAGACCAAACGTATATCTTCCTTTATAAAAAATCTGAGTGAACAGTATTTAGCATTTAAGTTCGTAAACAATAATACACTATAATAAGTATATAAGAAAAACGAGAAATTACTTATTTATACTTTTGTTGCTTTCCAGTATTTATATACTTTTTATTTTATTATTTATTTTTAACAATTTATTTTATGTTCTATGTGCAATGGAAAGATTTATGTTTATAGTATCTAATATTTATTTCAAGTTACATCGCACTCTATGACAGTATTATATTTTTCATAGATTTACTTTTATCTCTTATTAATAAATGTTTTGTCAACTTTCTACCAAATAGTCTATATTTCATTAAAACTTTTATTGTGTTGAATAATCATGAGAATTAAAATTAACGAGCTTCAGAATTCTGTTACAGTTGAGACAAGATAATTTCACAGAAAAGCCATTTAGTAACGTTCAAAACATTTTTTGTCAGTTTTTTCCCAAGTACAACTTTTATATTTTTTCATGATTAAAGAATATATAAAGACGAAAAAATCAGCTGCACAATATGTAAAAAATGAATATTTTTTAGTCTTTCTTCACTGAAGTATATTAAACCACCTATCTAAAAAACATCACAAGTTTCGAACTTTGTCCGATAACTGTACTACAGATTTCTTAAAAAATGTTGATCAACATGTGTTATAAATACAAGTTCTGCATCTAAAGAATTTGAGTTTTTTACTGATCATATTTTACCCTTAAAATAATGGTATTTTTAACAACCTTAATTATTTTGGATTAACTTGCTCAGTAAATATACACTTAATTTCGTATTTTTTGCTATCCAATTTATCATATTTTAACTACCCAACGACTTTGGATATTTTGCTGATCAGATTTATCCTCGAAATCATATCTTTAACCATCCGGATGACCTTCATTTTTTTAATTTCCTGATTCACCCTTTAGATTATGTTTTTAACCACCATGGTATTGACTCTTAAATTTAAAAATTTCTACAAATTGTGAATTATAATCTACATGTATTTAATAACGAATAAAATAAAAGATAATGATCTATTGTATTATTCTGCTTTATTTTTTTCACTTTTTATAAAAAGAAAAAAAGAAATTAACATGCGGGCGCAAAATACTTTTCCGCCCGCTTGTGTGGCGTCAGCGGGCGGAAAAGTATTTTGCGCCCGCTTATACCCTACCCCCAGGCGAGAATGTGTTATTTTGCGCCCGCACTAAGTGCCTGAAATGAAATACTTTCCGTGCAGGTAGGACAAAAAACAAATTTTTTTCTTTTTTTACATCTCAAAAGCTAGAGAAAGAAGTAGGAGATTTTTTTTGATCGATTTTTGTAAAAATGATGAACATTTGAAGGAAAAGCAGAGTTTTTTCCAAAAAATAGGCACAAAATTGTTTATTAGAAGCTACAGTTAAATTTTTAGTTAAATCGGTTGAGATTTGTGAAAGTTAAGTTATGTTATGTACTCTCTAAATCTGAATAAGTGAAATTTCACTTAAAATGTGTCAAAAGTCTTCCACGTAGAAAAATAAGTGTATATGCACTTTAAAATAAGTGGTTTTCACTCAAAAATAAGTGAAGTTTCACATTTTTTTAAGTGCATATACACTTATTTTTCTACGTGGAAGACTTTTGACACATTTTAAGTGAAATTTCACTTATTCAGATTTAGAGAGTAAGTTATGTTTCCCGTCATTTCAAAAAAGTAGTTTGAAAAAAAACGCGTTTAAAGTTTTACTTATGATTTGTTGGATATATTTTTAATCTGCAATGCCTGCACCATATAATCAATGAAATTTCACTGACTAGATGTGAAAATTGCATTGGATTATTTATAAGAAAATACATCTGCCGAGCACGCAGTACAGGATTACGATCGAGATTAAATTCAAGCACTTAAAAAGTGTTTCTACTTATAATAATTGACATTGTTTCTTATTTTATATACACTTAGACACTTTTTAAACTAATTTAAACTTATGTTTTGTGTAAATAAGATGAGCCAAAAAATTCAAAGTTTTTAGAGTCTAGCTACATTATCATTTATATTAAGATTTATTTCTAAAAAACGACAAAATTATCTTTATAGTAATTTTTTGCAAGGAATTTAATAGTTATAAAAAGAATAAGACAAAAAATTTGTATTCTTAAATATTCCATTACTATTTCTCTTGCAACATAATTAACCCAATAAGCCCCAAATGCACTGAAATTTTAGTCTAACTTCAAGGAATGATATTTTACAGAAAAAAATCCCAATTTTTCGGGAAATTTACATCTAACGTGTATTTGAGTGTGCTTTTTCCGAAACTGCTATCAAAAAAGGCTTAAAAAATGATAAATAATGTTTATTTGCAAAATGACGCGATTTTTTTAATGATTTTTCAATAAATTTACAAATATTTAGAAAGGAAAACAATTTTTCCGACAGCTATCAAGTATATAGATCGTGCATTCGATTGTTAAACTTCAAACAAAAAATATGCCCTCTCCAGAGATGGGTAAGTAACATACTTCATGTATGTTACCTAAGTTTGCTACGTATGTTACATGTGTATACAACTTGTCCAGTTTGCTACACAACGTTTGTTACATTTCCTGACGTAGGCACTCGTAATGGTCAGAAGCAAATATAACCTCAATCTAGTTGGTTCCCGCTGTGTTTAGTCTTTGAATTTTTGTTTGATTCGTTTGATTATTGCTTTGTGGACATTCTTTTTAAAAATGAATCGAGGTTACCCTACTGAAAATCCCTGTATAAGATCTTGTACAACTTCCTGTACAGGATCAGCAACTGAACTTGTACAAGTTCTGACCAGTTCCTGTACAGGAAAATGCATACGAATTTGGAACAAGTTCATGTGTGAGATCTTGTACAAGATCTGGTGCAAGATCTTGTACAAGAAAATGTTCATGTACAATTTCATGTATAAGTACTTGTACATGAACACGTCCATGTTCTTGCACATGTTAATTCATGTTTTTCTTTACTAAAAATTAAAAACTTCAAAGGCTGCGCAATAGTTTACTTTAACCTTTACAGCTGCGCAATAGTTTTTAGCATGCATGAGTTACGAATCTTAGTGGTTAAAAATTATCAAAATCTCAAATTTTATTAAAAAAAAAAATTTTACAACTATTTCATGTGCAAGAACATGAACGTGTTCATGTACAAGTACTTATACATAAAATTGTACAAGATCATGTACATTTTCTTGTACAAGTATCTTTCTTGTACAAGATCTTGCACCAGATCTTGTACAAGATCTCACACATGAACTTGTTCCAAATTCGTATGCATTTTCCTGCACAGGAACTGGTCAGAACTTGTACAAGTTCAGTTGCTGATCCTGTACAGGAAGTTGTACAAGATCTTATACAGGGATTTTCAGTAGGGTATTAACTTAATAAAAATTATTAAACTGAAGTGCAATAAATTATTATTTAAAGAATATTTCATCTCTTTATATTTACCAGTAGATCTATTTACCTGAGTTGCCTGAGACATTATTATAATTTATCTGTTATGATGATGAGGCGAGTCCGAGTTGACATCCGAAAAGTGAGGTTATATTTATAATATGGTTTGCGACAATTTGTTACGTATACTACACATTTTAGGTATCATACGTAGCAAACCTTGAGTTAGCGACATTTACCCATCCCTGGCCTTCTCTCCTCCCGACTTTTATTTTCTCAAAATGGCGTCGAAAAATTCAAAAAATTAATTTAAAAGTGCCAAATTTTTTAAATTGTGTCCAAATTAGCTGAAAATGCTTACTCGGGGGTTTTCGGGGTCGCTGCTTATGAATTTGACGTCAGAATTTGAAAAATCAAAATGGCGGATTCAATATGTCGACCAAAAATTTTTAAAGTCGACGATTTTCGCTAAAAATGTTTACTCGGGGGTTTCCAGAGTCGCTGATTTTGATTTAGATATCAGAATTTGAAAAAACAAAATGACGGATTCAATATGGCTATCAAAAAAATTTTAAAGTCGACGAATTCCAGATAAAAATGCTTACTCGGGGGTTTTCGAGATCGCTGATTACGAATTTAATGTTAAAATTTTAAAATTTAAAATGTCGAATACAATAAGAAAATAAAAAAATTTTAAAATCGATAAATTTCGCTAAATGCATTAAGAATACCATCTGTAGCCACCTAGTCCTCATTGGTGTTGCTCGATTCTCACCACGGGGAAATAGATAGTTTTTGAGAATATTTTTTTTTGTTTTTAAAAATATTTTTTAAATTATTTTGTTTTTTTGAAATAAGTATATGTTTTTTGTTTCTTTGAAATATTTTTTGGTTTTTTTGCTTACATTCAATTTTTGATTTTATTATTATATTTACTTTTATATATTATGCTATTTTTTATTAATAAAATTTTTATTTTTAAAATAAAATTTTTAGTTTATTAATAAATTTTTTCAAATTTTTTATTTTTACTATGTTTTTATTAATAAAAACACAGCATAATATATGAAAATAAATAAAATAATCAAATCAGGGATTGAAAAGAAACAAAAAAATTCAAACATATTTCAAATAAACATAAAAATTAATTTAAAAAAAACAAAAAAATTTTAAAAAATTCGTAGAATTTAAAAAAGTTTGGTCGCCATATTGGATCCACCATTTTGATTATTCAAATTTTGACATCAAATTCGTAATCAGCAACCTTGAAAACCCCCGATTAAATATTTTTAGCTAAATTCGTCGACTTTTAAAAATTTGTCCCATTTAAATTATTTTTTATAATTTTTTGAACTTTTCGACTTTAAAATGTTGTAGTTTTTTTGTTCGACAGATCTAGATAGTATTTAAAATTTTAAAGACGGTAAAACTTTCTCGGATTTTTTAACCGTCGAATATGGACCGTATTTCAGTTTTCCAAGACTTTAAGACTGTGTAGGATTTATTATGTCGTAGAATTTTTTGTTCGACGGATATGGACAGTATTAAAAAATTTTAAGACTCTATGACATTGTGGGATTTTTTGTTCGTCGGATATGGAACATATTTCACTTTTTCAAGACTTTAAGACATTTTAAGATTTTTTATTTATCAGATATAAAGAGTATTAAAAATTTGTAAGACTCTAAAACATTGTCGGATTTTTTATCGTCGTAGAAGCACCTCTAAAATATTGTAGGATTTTTATTCGTCAGATATAGCCAGTATTAAAAATTTTTAAGAATCTAAGATATCGTAGGATTTTTTGTTCGACGGATATGGACCGTATTTTAGTTTTCCAAAAGTTTAAGACTGTGTAGGATTTTTTTTTGTCGGATTCTAATCGTATTTCAGTTTTCCAAGACTCTATGACATTGTGGGATTTTTTGTTCATCAGATATAGACAATATTTAAAATTTTTAAGCCGTTGAAACATTGTCAGATTTTTTGATTGTCGGATAAGAACCGTATTTCAGTTTTTCAAGACTCTAAGATATTGTAAGATTTTTTGTTTGTCAAATATTGACCGTATTATAAATTTTTAAAACTTTAAGACAATTTAATATTTTTTTGCGTCGGATACAGACAGTATTTAAAATTTTTAAGACTCGAAGGCATTGTAGGATTTATTGTTTTTCGGATTTAGACCGTATTTTAATTTTTCAAGACGCATTGTTGAATGGATGGATTGTGGAATTTTTAATTTATCGGATATGGACCGTATTCAAATTTTTTCAAGACACTAAAACATAGGTTTTTCTATTCGTCTGATATGAACCGTAGTTTAATTTTTGTTGATATTATGATGTTGCTATTGTTTTCATTTCACAACTTTGACTTGCTTTTTAAACATTTTTTCTGTATACAATAATTTCAATAATTTATGAATTTATTTTTTATAATTAAAACTTTTATTTTTATTCACGTCTGTTGTTGTTCATCATATGAACATTATTTCAATTTTTACCTTCAGAGAAAGAA